GACTACCTCCACTACGACTTCGCTACTGGTCTGCTCCCCGGCTCCAACTCTATTCAATGGTCTATTGCTCGGCTAGGAGGTAACCTTGGGGGCAATCCGTCGGGAAAGATGTCTACAAACTCCGCTAAAAGTGCACTCACTTCAGCAGGAAGATTCGTCTTCTCTCCAACTCTTGCACTCCCTCCTTTCTCCTCCTCCTCAGCCTCAACCTCCTCAACGAAGACTGTGAAGATCCGTGCCGCTCGCTTCACCAGCTATCGCACATGAACAACATTGATGATACTTGCAGAGGATGTGGCCGCATCGCTCCACTTTGGCAGGTCTCGGAACTCCCCATCCACCTTGATGCTGCAGATGCCCTGAGCCCAATCGAACTGAGTCATTACCGTCCGCAACCAATCTCTACCGAAGATGAAGTCGTAATCGTCTAGCATCGCAAAATCGAAGTCTCTTCTAATAGTAATCGCTCATAGTACTATGCGCAACTTGTGGATTACTGGACCTAAATGGAGATGCGTTCCATCTACCATGCAAGCGTCCTTGAAGTCGTATAAAGAATCCGCTTTGAGATGGAGACGGCTAACTAACGAAGACGAGACGAATAAGTGACTATGTCCACTATCTATGAGAATTTTGACTGGAACTCCACGAAGCTTCCCAAGAAGCACGACCGACTAATTAACACTGTCTACCTCATTCCGCATAGATGACACCTCTAGGGGCGTCTCCTCTATGTGGGTAAACTGGGCGGATACGGAAGCCTGCACATAAGCTAGCGACCCGCTATCTACTAGCAGTTTCCGTTTCCCTGTTGCCGCTCTTTAAGCTGAGGATAGTCCCGCTTCATGTGTCCTAGCTTTTTGCAGTAGTGACAGTTTCCTCTAAATCTTGGTCTCTGTGAGTCGTCATTGTTAATTGCACCAATCTCTATGGGCGATGGTCCGTCCCTCGAGCGAGTATTGTTCATCGGATTCTTGTAACTCCTATCACGATCGTCAGGACCTCGTCGGCTTCGTACTGCGTCGACGCGTTTTACTGCTGCAACTACTGCCTCGAAGGTGGACAATCCGTGAATCGCTATGACTTTTGCTATGTCCGACCTTAACCCCTCGAGGTAGCAATTGCGCATATCTGCAACCGTGATGCCATCTATTTCGTTGCAGAGGCTGAACAACAGTTGTGTGTACTCGTGGGCATTCCTATCTGACGAAAATAACGCAGACGCTTCCTAGCAGCTTCAGAGGCATTCATCAAATCGAATCTAGCTTTCAGCGCTGCGTCAAATCCTCCCCATGTGGTTGGAATCGTGGTCACACCCAAAGCTACACTACCTAAGCTCAACGTTGCAGCTGCATACCCCTCGCCCTGCTGATGCCTGTCTACTTGAGCCCTTCTTACAGCTGTTTGTGTGAGTTGGTGCCACCACTCGAAAGCCGGGCCCCTCAGCAGCGTCACGGAGTACTCGACTCACTGTCGCGTGTCCGCCTTTGCATCCTGTTCGCGTTGAAGTAGTTGTTGAACATGAAGATCCACGTCCGCACGTTCGCGTCGCGATGACTTGGGTCGAACGGTTCCGGTCGAACTCGCTTTTGGGTTTCAGCGTCGTTCAGCATTCCGACAGCCCTTCTGTAGCAGTTGACGTGTTGGGTGCATGAGCTGGTGTAGCATGGCCATGGGGGTTAGAAGAAGCCAATTCACGAAGTTGCTGCATTTCAACACGTACCTGACGATTTTTAAGCGTCAGCGCCTCGAGTTGTTGCATGAGGGTGGCAAGCGCGTTGCCCATGTCTTGGGGTTGAGTTGCCATGACGGTGTCCATGGCCGGCTCGACGCCTCCAAGTCTGCAAGTCGGCGCCGCGGAACGATGACAGTGTAGTCTCGTTATTGACGGTCGCTCGTTGGAAGTCGCTCCCCACCAAGCTCTGATACCAAGTGTTAGGCTGTTTGGCCTAAATCGCTAGAGAATAGCGGAGTTGGTGAAATCGAGGAAAAAGCGTAGCGGAAGACTTTGACGAAGTAGTTGTTGGCGAAGAATGCGAAGAAGTAATCGGGTAATGATTGATGATATTGACGAATACAAACAAGGATTATGTAGCATGCAAGAACGGTTGTGGGAAAATGGTTTGTGGCACAGAATGGGATTACGTGGCAAACCAGAGAGCCACGTGGCAGTTGGAAATCTGAGTTGGATTGTGAGGCGATAAGGTTGGGATGGAATGAACAGTGCTGTCATGATAAATACCACGTGAACAGTAAACTATCCCGTAACGGGTTCGGCTGTGGGAATGCTTTGGTTTGAATCAGGTTTCGTTTGACCCCCACATGAACGACCGACCTCAACACCAGGAGCAAACGAACCCAACACCACCGAACATAAGGATCTATACAGTACTGTTGAGGAGATTGTGGGAGGTTTGGGTCAAGGTGAGGTACGGGCTCTGGCTTGGAGGATAATCGGCGCGCTACGATGCATGACGAAATGTGTGGAGCAAACCGAAAGATGAACCCAATCCAAGGGAGGGGGCTATGAGATTCCATTGGCCGTTGGCTGTCTTTTCTGGTTCGGAACCGCAACATCGATGAAGCCCTCCAAACGCGCCTTCCCTTGTTGACTTGAGATGGTTTCAGTTTGGGAGCTGGTTTTGCCCCCAAGAACCTCAGGTGAGGCCTGGAAAACTGGCTCCCCACCCCACCAGCGCGTCCGTTAGGCTGTCCAAATGTGGGATGTCGACACAACAAATGTCGTTCACAATTCCGGTTCACTATGGCTATGGTTAAGTTTACAGATCTAGAGACTTTCTGTAACCTTCTAAACGTTCACTAAATCGTACATTACGGAAACCACCTCCGATGCTGGTGAACCATAGTGAACCGTAAACTGAATTGTCAACAAGGCGCTGCTCGCCACCCAGTCTGTTCATTCTTCTGTACAGATGTCCTTACCTCCCTACAGCTGTTAGCTAACGACAAGATTCAGTGACCTTAACGACAAGCTATGGAATCGCTAACGACAATCTGCATTGACTTTAACGACAACCTACAAAATCAGGAGAAGATAGTGTGGGGGGTTCTGCACTGTGCTCGTAGTCCAGTCTGTAAAATCCCCGTCGGAAAAAAAAAAATGTACCGTCCAGGGCGACCGTCCTGGATTCGAGCATTACTAAACAGTGATATGTTCATCCGTGAGCAGCTTTCTTGGGAATTAGTCTCGACGGCTTTGTTCGTAGGAACTCCTGGCCGGAATCCAGACCCAACAAACAAGCGACGGTGGGTTCACACCACGCCACCACAACCAACAGCTTCCAACACCTCTGCATCACAGAAAACACGGGTGGGAAATTTTTTGGGAGTGATACGAAGTGAACCACACCTTTTTTTGTGAACATGAAAATTTACTTCAGGTGGAGTCAGCGACACTTGACTTTGTTTGCCCCCCTTCCCCCCTCCCTCTCAGCCAGCCATTTCCGCCACTTCACGCATCTCGGCCATTTCCAGTCACTGAAGTCAGCAGCATGCCTGCCACGCCACCATGAAGTCAGTCACTTCCACATCCACTGCTCAGAATGTCAGCCGAGCAGTGCCTTCATGAGTGGCATGGCATATCGTTGCATCCACTTCACTGCAAACCCCCCAGTCACCACCAGCACACCACCTCAGGTGACCAGCTAACAAATTACTGTTCGGTACAGAAGCACATGTCCAGTGCAACAAGGAGGGCATGTTGCGCCTGGAGGGAATCATTGTAGACGCTGATCATACATTCCAGAAGCTTTATGTGAGACTAGTCCATTCTTTGCATGCCCAAAATTGCACAGGTGCATGCATCATTTACAACCAAACTTGTACATGCATCGATTTTGAAGCCACACTCAAACCACTGGCATTTGTCCATGTTTCCAAACAACTTTGTCGCAGGTACACACGGCGCTGGCTCTACCAACCACTGGAGAGAGGGAGAGCCATTATGCACGCGCAAATCCCAGTTTCCATGGCACACCGGCGTTCTCTCATGCAGCTATGATAGGGAACGCAGTGGGTGCAGATGGCAGAAGAACCCCTGTCATATGGTATGTACAGGTCCTGATGCTGTTCCATATAGACGAGGCACGCGAGGACGGCGAGAAGAAGAGTTTTGCGTTCGTGCGTTTCTATGACATGGAGGGCGTCGACGTAAAAACCTCATGCCAACTTCTTGCAGACCCCCCCCTGGACTCTAGATATTACTTGGTTGATGCTAGATCGATCGTACGAGCCGTGCATGTGGTCCGCTCGTACGATCGCCATTCACTGTACTTTCTAAACCATTTTGAGACGATATAGTTACCGTACGAGACCATTGCATCCACGTCGTTCTTTGGCTGTATGTGCAACTTTTCTTTACATGGGTGAATGAACACCTCATAATGCTATGCTTGCTGTATGGTTCTCATATGACTTCACCATTGGAGCATAATTTAAATAGATCCATAAAAACAATCGCAGGCCACTATTAAGTACGTTGTACTAATAGTTTGATTGAAGTAGATCCATTTTACAAGCAAAAGTGTTCGCTACCTTTTGAATTAATTACAGCCGCTATGTTCTTCACCCTTCGAGCATACGTTAAGTAGATATATTAAACAACCACAAGGCTCTATAAAGTACGTAGTAGAAGTTCATTACCGCTGTGTTCCATAAAGTGAAATTTCAAAAGCGACACTAGCGAGTCAAACGCCACTTGAATTTCAGGGGGTGCATGCGCGAAAGCTGGGAAGGTATGCGAAGCGTAACCAAAGTGCGCGAACCGATGTGTTGACGCTCACTTTTCGTTTCATCGGTTTCCGCGCTTCGCTGTCATTGGTTCCGCACCTGCAAAAGAAGTACCGAGCCTTTGACGAAGCTGAGGCTAAATTCCCGAATCGCGAATGATACATTTCGGAGCCGCGCCTGATACAAATGCCCCGATGAAGTTACTTCCAACTTGTTACTTTTCTAAAAGTGACTTTTTCGAGCCCATCAATTTTGGGATGGTAGGCGGCAAAGGGGAGAAAGGAGGGAGAGAGGGGGAGGATGCGGGGCGGGTTTGAAGGGGGAGGGGGGGAAACGGTGGCGGAACACGGCCCCCATTCCTCGGGGGGAAAGGGAAATGTGGCCCGCACTGCTGGGAGCATGTGCGCCATTCGCCGCCCCTCCGCCAATGGTTCGTGCGCGACGTGCGCGGATCTCCTCCCCCTTCCCCAGCCCCCACATTGCAGCGGAAGCAATGCCGCGGAACGCTTCGTTCTCTCCCCCCCCAACCCCCCCCCACCCCCCCACATTGTGCGCAGGTCAATGGAGCGCCGTTCACGGCGGCGGGAGACGCCCTCCTGCTCGCGAGCGTGTCGTGAGACGGCGAGACCAAGTGGGCGACCAATCGCTCAGATTCCCTCCCCCTCCCCCTCTCCCTCTCCCCCCCCCCCCTCCCCTTCCCCGGTAATGCAGGTCAACCGCGCGCCGTTCACGGCGGCGGAGGACGCCCTGCTGCTCGCGAGCGTCTCGTGGGACGGCGAAACGAAGTGGGCGGCGATCGCCGCGGCGAAATTCCCCTCGCGAACGGGTTACCAGATCCAGAGCCGTTGGCACAGCCTCATGAACCGCCAGCGCCGCTGGATGAACCCGCCCGCCGCCCAGGCGCAGGGGGAAGGCGCAGGGGCGGGGGAAGACGGAACGGCGGGAGAAAGAGTGGCGGGGGAAAGGGCTGCGGGAGGGGGAAGGGCTGCGGGGGAAACAGCAGTGGCGGGGGAAGGAGCAATGACGGGTTACCAGCCCATGAACTGCCAGCGCTGCTGGATGAACGCGCCCGCCGCCCAGGCGCAGGGGGAAGGCGCAAGGGCGGGGGAAGGCGCCAGGGAGGGGGAAAATGCAATCGCGATACCTGGGCGAAGCGAAGCGACAGGAATTGGCGCAGTGGCGGAATCAGCAATTGTGGAAGCAGTGCAATCCGCTTGTGAGGGAAGTGGTGATGACCCGCCGGCACCCCCCTTTCCGGAAACTGGCGCGGTGGCGGAATTAGCCACTGCGGAGGCAGCGCAACCCGTGTGTGCGGGACGCGCGAACTCCCGATTCAAAAGACGAGCAGAATCGGCTCGTGCTGGTGGCCCACTCGCACACGGCCACTTTCTGGAAACTGGCGCAGTGGCGGGATCAGCCGCTGCGGAAGCAGCGCGATCTGGTTGTGTGAGAAGCGCCAACCCCGCATGCCTGGATGCTAGCCCATGTGTTTTCTCAGGTGCTACTGCAGGTGCTGTCTCAGGTGTTTTCTCAGGTGGTACCCCAGGTGATTCTCCTGGTGCTTCGCCAGGTGCTGCTGCACTCCTTGCTTCAGCCAACCCCTCAGCCGTTGCTGCTTTCATCCGGACCCTCCAATCCGCAATCAACGGCTCTCCTCGATCCCCCACTTCAACCACCCATTTGGACTCAACCATCCATTCAGACGCAATCGTCCATCGATTTTTCACCACCCATCCCCACACTATCATCCCTAGGTGCTTCTCAGCGCAACAGTTAGCCGCCAACCCGTCACCCAGCAGCCAGCCTGGCCACCGCACTCAACCGAATTTAACACCATCCTTCCCTATGAGCTTCTCAGCGCAACAGTTGGCCGTCAATCCGTCACCCAACAGCCAACCTTGCCCCAGTGCCACCCTGCTGCGCCCAAGCACTGCTCTATGCTTCTCAGCACAACGGTTAGCTGCCAACGACCCGTCCAACAGTCAGGCATCCCCCAGCAGCGCCCTGCCCCGCCCCAGTGCCACCCTGCTGCGCCCCAGCACTGCTCTCTGCATCTCAACTCAACGACTAAGTGCCAACGATCCGTCCAACAGCCAGCCCTGCCCCAGTGCCACCCTCCTCCGAAGCACCCTGCTCCGACCCAGCACTGCTCCTGCAGATTCTGCACGTGCAAGAGTATCCATGGCGAACGGGATGGGTGGCGGAGCGACATGGCCTACCCTCCAAGATCCCGAGAGTTCGTTGTTGAGGCGCCTCATAAACAGCGCGGCTGCTGCTTCACTTGCAAGAGCAAGCGCCCCCAACAGGGTGGGTGACGAGGCGACATGCCCGCCCCGCCAAGACTCAGAATCTATTTTTGCTGGCGTCGGCATCTGCATCAGTGGTAGCCAAGCCCAAGCCCAAGCCCAAGCCCAAGCGTCAGCATCTGCATCAGTGGTAATCTCATCTGCGGCAGCAGCGCCAGCAGCAGCGTCGGCACTCGCACCAGCACCCGCATCAGCGCCAGCAGCACCAGCTGCAGTGTCAACCGCAGCAGCAGCAGCAGCAGCAGCAGCAGTGGAGCTGCCTCTGTTTCCTGTTTCCCCTCCATCGGCTGACAGCAGCAGCAGCAGCGCTGCCAGGCCACTGATGGGCCCCAGCCTTACCCTCGACCTGTCACTGAGGCCCTCTCATCCCCACCCGCCTGCACCTGCTTTCAACGCTCTTGCTCCTGCCGCTCCTGCTGCCGCCGCTGCTGCTGCTGCCACTGCTGCTGCTGCTGGTGCTGCTGCTGCTGGTGCTGCTGCTGCTGCTCCTGTTAGCAACGCCGCTGCTGCTGCTGCGTTGGTGCCTCAAGGGGCTGACGTGCTGGTCCGATCTGACAGCGGCAACAGATGGGTAATGAAGCGCGCTTATAACGAGGTTCTTATTGCCGATGCTGCTGAGCAGGATGCGCCTGATTCGGCTGAAAAGGACCATAAATGTAGCCCCTTGGGATGTAACTCCTTGGGATGTAACCCCTTGGGATGTAACTCCTTGGGATGTAACCCCTTGGGATGTAACCCCTTGGGATGCAACCCCTTGGGATGGAACCCCTTGGGATGTGGCGACAGGATGGCAAAAAAAACCAAGACAGAGCCAGCGGTAGCAAGCCCTTGGGATGGTGCATGGAATGGGCCATCTTTCCGTGGGCAGGAGGTTGTCGATCATCCCAAGGGCGTGCTATCCTTGGAGGTCGCTCATCGCACGACGACTCCTCTTGGGGTCCTCGATTTCCAATCAGCACGTGCTGCTGCTTCTGCCGCTGCTGCTGCTGCTGCTGGTTCTGCGCCTGCCATCCCCCGCTCCTGGAGTGGCGGCAGCAGCACGTGCAGCAACGCAGTAGCAGCAGCAGCTGGTGCAGGGAGTGACGGGGGTTATCGCACGTCTACGCTTGGGGTCCTGGACTCACAAATTGCATCTGCTGCTGCTGCTTCTGCGCCTGCAATCCCCCGCTCTGCAAGTGGCAGCAGCAGCACGTGCAGCAACGCAGCAGCCGGCGGGGGGGGCGACGGAGGGCATTGCAATCAACTGCCGGAAACAACACTTGAGGCGCCTCATTATCTGGCTGGGATGTCTGGGGGGGGTGATGGACGGTATGGCATGCAACTGCCGGAAAGGCACTTGCTGTCAGGTTGTCGGTTGGACACAAGCCAAGTCTCAGCTCGGGGGAGTGGTGCAGGTCAGCTGGTATTCGATGGGTTGCAAGTAGCGAAGGATGGTAGGGTGGGGGTGGAAGAGCAGTGGCTGTTGGAGAACCGGGCGAGGCTCCAGGGAGACCAGTTGGGAACGGATGGGTCGCCAGTGGCAGGGGGGCAAGTGGCAGGGGGGCAAGTGGCAGGGGGGCAAGTGGTAGATGGTGAGAGGATGGGGGTGGAAGAGCAGTGGCTGTTGGAGAAACGGGCGAGGCTGCAGCGGCGGGAGGAGCAGTGGAAGAGAGAGAAGGAGATGCTTTGTTGTGTTCACAACAATCCAATTGGGCAGAGGCAGCAGGAGCAGCACCAGCAGGAGCAGCAGCAGCAGGAGCAGCAGCAGCAGCAGCAGCAGCAGTTGGCTCTTCAAGTTCTAGCGAGGCTGCTGCTGACACACAGATGACAGGCGGGCCTGGGTGCTGAAGCCCCACCCGCATCACCAGCAGCAGCAGAAGCCGCAGAGGCACTTGTCGTCTGGTGCTCGCAGGGCCGCTGCTGATGCACCGATGTCACGCGGGGCTGGTTGCTACAAAGACAAGCAGATGCTGCAGATAGTGAGGCGTGGCAATACCGCCTCAGCATCGCCAGCAGCAGCAACAGCAGTTGGCTCATCAGGTGCTTGCAAGGCTGCTGCTGACACACAGATGACAGGCGGACCTGGGTGCTGATTCTCACGTGTGCACTTTAGAGCCTTTAGACCTACGTTTTGCTTAGAGAAGAGCACACAGCCATGGGCTCGTGGGCTCGCTCAATGTTTGGTTTGGTGCCTTCGTGCATGTGCCAATTGCAAGATGTTGGAAATATCTCAAAGGACTTCAGCGTTTCTGAAGTGTAACACTACACTCGAGGAAGACCGCAACGGGTACGCGAGTCAACGGAGGTTACACGAGGGGGCGAACAAAGAACACGAAGGGACTCGAAGGGTCGCAACTGGAGGTTGCGACTGACCGTTACAACAGCGCGGATGGTAACCGAAACGACAATCGAGTCGCTGTGCGACTCGATAACCGTTCCTGCAACTGTATTCTACAAATGCTTTCTTATTTTCTATATATTGCTGTATGCTTGTTTCTTTAATCAATCACTTGTTCTCATATACTAGTACAAGGGTTCAACTGCCTCAACTTCCGCTGCACTACTCAAGTCTCACTCTACAACTGGGACTTAGTCTCTGGAAAGATCCTAAGGGCTTTTTCTCAGCCCAATATGGTATCAGAGCTGGTCAGAGACCAAACTCCCAGCAACTACGATCTACCTACAATCTGCAATTCAACGACTTCATTAATTACAAGCCATGGACAGCAAGGGCAAGAAGACCTCTACGGGCTCACCCAGCGCCCAAGACATTCAACCCGGCAACTCTGGATTGCATACTTCAGGACTGCAAACCGAGACCGGCGCTGCTCAAGAAACAACAGGAAGAGCACCGGAAATGGTGACCCCATCACCCTCTTCAAGCGTGGATCCGAACCTTATGGAAAGGTTCTTCAGCTTCATGTCGCACTTCGATCAGCAGCAGCAGACAAGGACACCTGCGCATTCAACACAGAGCAACGGAGGAAACATGGGATTAGCACCGATGAGCCTCGACAATTTATCGTTCGGGCGACACAATCAAGCGCCTACCTTTGCGCCTTATCACTCTTCACCGGGGACGTTCGAGTTCATGCTGCCCCGTGCCCAACCAACAGCAGCTGCATCACAACAAACACCAAACGAGATTTTAAGTCTCCAGGCGCAGTTTTCACACGTGATTAAACTGCAGACATCATTACCATTCAACGGACACGATTTCTTTACCTGGAGTTTTGAGTTCGAGCTGCTGATGGAGGCTGCGCATCTCCTGGGATACTTCAATGGGTCCCTGCCATTCCCAAGCAACAGCACTGCAAAGGAGCATAAAATATTTACTTATCAGTCGCTGCTGGCGTACACAGTTCTCCTGCGGAACCTGTCACCACAAGAACAGCAGAGCATCAGAACATATCGGAGCTATGGAAACTCCGCGGAACTCGCATGGCATCATCTCAAGTGTCTCTATCAAGCAAACGACAGCGTGACACAAAGCAGACTCATGCAACAACTGACAACAATACAGATGAAGACAGGGGAAAAGGCGATGCAGTATATGAGTCGCTGCCAGACCCTCCGCGACCGCCTGCTTCGGTGCGGAGGAACAATCACTTAGGAAAGCTTCGTGACGCTTGTCCTCGCCGGGCTCGGACCAGAATGGAGAACCACACGCTCGCTTCTTCGCGCCCACGGACGGATCTCAGAGATGCATCTCTGCGCCGAGCTTCACGCCGAACAACAGGAGATGGACCTGTTCGAAGAAAGACAACCAAGGAAGCAGCAGCAGTTAGTTTTCTACACTCACCGAAGGAACGACAACACCTACAATCGACGTGGCAAACAAGATCAACGCGACAACAGAGGACTTACCCTCGTGCCGCCGTTCTGCCACAACTGTCAGACTTCCGGACATTCCAAAGTCAACTGCACACGTCCTCGTGTTTATCGTCCAGTAGACCCACACGTCGCCTCCACTCAAGAAAGCCCTCCAAGGCGCTCCTCCACACCTGCACAAGGGACACCGAACATCATTAACTGCATGGTACACATCGACAACTGCGCACCCGGATCACCACCCACCTACGCACCAGATGAAGAAGAACTTCCGCCGCCGCGCTCACAAGGACTTGAGGTCAACCCGACATACGCTGCGGTCGCCAACGCCGAACCCACCGGGCGAAATACCTGGTTCTTGGACAGCTGCTGCGGCCAACACATGTGTTCTTCCGGACGCTTCGTGCAACGAGAGCGACGTCTCAACCGCGACGTCATCATCACCGTCGCCAACAACGAAAACCTGAAAACAAACAGACAAGGCGTGGTTCAGTTACAATCCAAGGAGACAAATGTTATACTTCAACTCAACAAGGTCCTCATCGTCGACAACCTGGGTTACAACCTGCTAAGCGTCAGCCAACTAGTGGCAAAAGGGATTCACCTGGAGTGCGACTCCTACTCTAACGAGTTTCGCCTTTACCACGGGAAGGGCGGTCTCTTCATCGGTCGTGCTCTCCTGAAATCCGGCGTCTTCGTGTTGGACTTCGTCCCCGACCGCGGTACTGCCGACAGCGATGGAATCGTGTCGTTCGCCGCCTGGACACACCCACTGGATCTTGACCCCGACTTCGACCCTGATGGGTTCTGGCACTCCAACACAATACCTGCAGCAGAAAGAATACGAGCATTAGCAGTCATCAGACAAGAAAGACAAGTACCAGCAAGCATCCCTTCCCAACCATCACCTGCAGTAGCAGCAGCAGGACCCAGCCGAGTACAACCACCAGCGATCCGAGGACCGCCAACCGAAGCAGATCAACTTATGCCCATCACACGAGAAGTCTGTCGAAGTCCCGCCACGGTCGTCGCGTTCTTCTCCAACACCGACATATACCACCGCTCGCCCGGACATCGCGCTCCCGACGACATCTGGCACCAACGACTCGGGCACCCTGCAAACAGTACAATACTGCAAACTATCCAAGCCGAAGTGTTAGAACGCAACGCCCTCCTAACAACAAGCGGCCAAGAACTTCGACGACCACGCGAACGGTGCTTTACGTGCCCCGAAGCCGATCTTCCCCACCAGCCTTTCCCATCTCATCACAACCCAAGCGCACCTGCATACGCACCGATGGAAAAAGTTTACAGCGACATCTTAAACATGCCTCGAGACGACACGGAGGCCGACTTCAACTACGTCATCACTTTTATCGATGCAGCAACAAGATATGTTTGGCACTACAACCTCAAGACGCGCGATCAAGCCTTCGACGCCTTCACGACATGGCTCCCCATCGCCGAACGAGAATCAGGAACCAAACTCAAGAGCTTTCAGTCAGACGGTGCACTGGAATACCAGTCACAACGCTTCAGGACCTATCTGGCGGAAAGAGGAATCAGACGCCTGGTTTCTCTACCCTACGCTCACCAGCAACAGGGGGTCGAAGAAAGAATGAACTGGACCTTGCAGACGACGATGCGGAAGCTACTCCTGGGGATGAGACTGCCCAACGCACTGTGGCCAGACGCGATGACCCATGTAGTCCACCTGCACAATTTGCTATCCTCGTCATCGCTCCCCAACAACGCATCACCGCACCTGCTGTGGACACGAAAAAGGGGCAGCACAAAATTACTTCGAGTTTTTGGCTGCATGGTACAGTACAGACCACACACAGCCAGAGCAGGACGTTTCACCCAACGAGCACGATGGGGGCTACACCTCGGCATCGCACAACATTTTCACGCATGGAAAATCCTCGACATCCAAGACAAAACTACCGTGGCATCACGTGATGTTATCTTCTACGAGCGACTGACGCTGCAGCATTACCTGGACAACATTGCCAACACACATGACCCCACCGACGGTTTCGCGGGCCTTCGTTCCTTCGCCGACCGTGCTGCCGAGGCTGACGCAGCAGAAGAAAACGTACCTGGAGCCTCGGAAGCTGCCGGACCACTCCCTTTCTGCTCCGTACCTGTTCCACTCGATGAAGCCAATCCCCTCGAGAGTAACAACCTCGACACCTTTTACCACTTCGCTGACCAAGGTTACGTTACACCCCACCCCGTCGACACGAATGTTTCAGAACGCATCGGCCCAAACTTCTTACCTGATCCAGAAGATGGTGACGAAGCAGCTTATTCCGGGAATGAAAATTCCCCTCGACACACACCCACGGGACTGCAGATCCTCGGCCTCTGGGTCTCCGTCCAGCTTCCGCCGCCGCCATCTCCGCGCGAGCCCTCGACTCTGTCGCAGGCTCTGGGGGGGAGCACAAGGCAAAATGGAAGGAAGCGATGGAAAGGGAACTAAAGGCTCTGCAAGACCGAGATACATGGAAGCTGGTACCTGCAACAAGCATCAACGGGAAGAACGTCATCTCGGGAAAATGGGTGTACCGCATCAAGACCAACGCGGACGGCACCATCGAACGATTCAAAGCTCGATGGGTCGTACGAGGCTTCGATCAACGATACGGAACCGACTACACAGAAACCTTTGCCCCAGTCTCCCGTCACACCTCCCTGCACATCCTACTCGCCGTCGCGGCCACGAAGAAACTACCACTGCGCCAAATCGACGTCGCAAATGCTTTTCTGTACGCACCTGTGGACGCCGAAATCTTCGTCGAGCAGCCCCACGGATTCATCGACGACCCTACAAAAGTATGCCAGCTGATAAAATCCCTTTACGGGATCAAGCAAGCCCCGCGGCTCTGGCAGCAGCATCTTCACAGTCGCCTCGCAAAAATCGGCTTCCTACAGCTGCCGCACGACCAAGGCATGTATCGACTACAGAAGAAAGAAGCCTTTATCCTTCTCATCGTCTACGTCGACGACCTGCTCTACATCGGCTCCACTACCGACATCGCCACCTGGTTCGAAGGGGAGCTGAAAGAAGACTTGACACTCACGGTGTCCGACGCAGTGACCCAGTACCTGGGACTGAATGTAGTCGAAGACAACTCGGCGTTCTACCTACACGCTGGAGAGTACGCAGGCACCGTCGCGAAGAAATTCGGTCTAACGCCGACTACGGTCCCAACTCCCTACCGCTACGGGAACAACAACATCACCTCTGCAAAACTCCCCGCGAAGCAAATCCAGGAGTATCAACAGAAGCTCGGCTGCCTACTATTCGCAGCAGTAACCTGCCGACCCGATCTCTCTTATAGCGCGAGCCAACTGGCGACGCATCTGAAGCAGCCGGAACAAGAAGATCTCGAGGAGCTCAACCGGGCACTACTCTACTTCGTCTCCACGCCGACGACCGGGCTTACCTACAGCAAAGTAACAACACCGTCCGTACGACTACTCGGATACGTCGACGCCGATCACGCGGGAGACAGGGAAAATCGACGATCGAGAACGGGCTACATCTACCGACTAGAACCTATCGGGACTATCTCCTGGCAGTCGAGCAAGCAGGAACTAATCGCACTATCTTCGGCTGAAGCAGAATATATCGCCCTCTGCACTGCGACCAAAGAAGGACTCTACCTACGAGAGTTGCTCGAGGAAGCGAAGATCGCGACCCTGCCCGTCTTCTCACTCCTCTGCGACAACCAATCTGCGATCAAAATCGCGAACAAGGACGGCTTCGCCAACCGAACCAAACACATTGCCCTGCGGTACTTTTTCGTCAAAGATGAAATCGCGAAGGGGAGACTTCAACTCAGTTACTGCCCTACAACAGAAATGGCCGCAGACTA